CAACATTTAGTGCAATGAGAAAGAGATGATATGAAGGGGATTAGGGCAAAAAGATGAATAAACCACTTTTGAATTAAAAATTTAATCAAACTATTATTAAAATCATTCATCCATTTTGGTGGAGTTGAACTCAACACCCAAGATCCAATGATGTTAATAAAGTCATGATCAAAAATTCAACTCAAGACAACCAAAAAATAATCACAAAATAATAATATATTTAATATATACATTTAAAGGGTTAAAAAAGTTTTAAAATAGAAAATTATGAGGAAAATATCAACTATGTTCAAATTATTTAAGAAATGAAAAATTAAGCCATAGAAAAATCAGAAATGGATCCAAATATTTTTATAAAATTTTTAATAATTTCAAAAGTCAGAAACTATTTTTAAACTATTTAAAATTGCTAAAACAAACATAAAATAGATAAAAAATAGTAAACCTCAACATAAAATTCCATAAAATTTTCAGAAAGTCAAATATATGCAAAAAAAATTATGAATTTTTTCAGAATTAAAAAATGTTAGAAAGTATTTTTTAAGTAATTAAAAGAAAGCAAATAATACAAAAATATAAAAAATACCAAATGTTAAAATAAAAATGTAAAAAAATATTCATGAGATCAGAAATAATTCAAAGTATTTTTTGTGAATTTTTCATAATTTTTGAATAAAAAATAAAAGAGTTATGAATTTTTGAAAATTTAATCAAATAAAATATAAAATCAGAAAATAAAATAAAACCAAAAAGATGTGGACCATCAGATCAAAGTCAAAACGTGTTAGTAAGCTAATCCAATGGACCAGGCGCGCTGTGCTTGATATGGACCTTAGTGAAACACAAATGTGATCAGAAAAAGGGCAACCAATGAAATTAAAACGCTTGACACGCTATCATTGGCTGAGACGAGACATGTCATCGTCTTCAACCTCCAGACACCCTGTAATGGGGATTTTGTGAGATCCTTCAAATGGAAAAATTAGGATCCCTAGCTAGCATCATTGAACTCATCTCTCCAAGACGATTCTAACACAACCATCGCGCCAAATTTATGTAAAGTATGGAGAGAGATATGAATCAAAACACAGAAAAATAGCGAGCACCTTCAATTTGAGATGTCTCTCTCAATTCTCAATGGATTTAAAAATTGTAAGCAGCATTAGAATCAGACAAAGGAGTAGAATAGATTAGTGCTTGATTTGGATCCAATTGGTGGAGAATTCTACCTTTTCGAATTTCAAGTAAGAAGCTCTGAAACTGGACTTCTGTAGCTTGGATTATTGGTCGTTTTGATTGGTTTAAGTGCTGAAGAGTTTGTATGAAGTTCAAGGATGATGAATGCACAAAGAATTTTGGAAAAGGAAGCTTAAATTTCAAAAATTGAATTCAACAAAAGTGGGTTTGTGTGAAGCTTTGGCAGGGTGTTCTTGGCTCTCTAAGCTTGGGAAATTAAATGAGGGATGACCCTCTATTTATAGGAAAGTGAATGGGAATGAAAATTTGAAGAAACAAGGAAGTTTGGAGGGAAATTGAGTAAGGGTCGAGCACGAGTGAAGTGTGACTTCATTTCCATCAAAACTCAGCCAAACCTTGCGTTTTGGGGTGCTAATCACTTATGGCAAGTTTGCTAATCAAGTTTAAATCAAAAACACGCACAAATCTTGTGTTTAGAAGTCACATTATGGATTTCAAAATCTGACTTTGTGCAAAATTCAGTTTCCAACTACCAAATTAAAATCTATGGCATTTCCATCTCAAGGGGTCTTAGGGCATAATTCTTGATGCTTTGGAAAGATGAGGTTACAAGCTTTGTAATGGAAAAAGAATGGAATCAAATGAATGCTTGAGCTGAAAGTTACATGAAGTCAAAGTTGAAGAAAAAGAGTTGACTTTCCATACTTAGAAAAATTTCAAACTCTTCTTTAAAAATGACCTATAATCTCTTGCATCAAAACATGGCCTTCCACTTAGAATTTTCTCTTGACCAAAAAAAGATGGAATGAAGTAGACCTCTTGAATGACATTTTGCAATTTGAACCACTCAAAATCTCCAAAAATTGAGCAAGTTATGACTTGTTGAAGTTGGCCAAAAATCATGAAATGACCTATAATCTCTTGCATTCTTAAGGCAACTTCCATCCATTTTCTTACTTTGCACATAAAACAAGGCAAAAAGTACACATCTTCAAGATCATCATGGAAAATGAATAGGCTCAAGGTGATAAAAAATGACCAAGTTATGATCATTTGAAATCACATATGAAAAATGAGGGATTCATCTGGATGACTTGTAATCTTTCTTCTTCACTAAGTTCCTTCCACATGAAAACTCCTTGGAACTTTTGAAGTGATTTGTTGTTAACTCTTTGAAGAGAATAATGTTTTTGGAATCACTCAAAAATAACAAAAGATGAGCAAGATATGCCCCTCTGAAGTCCAAAACCCTAGCCTCTAGATCAAGAGAATGCTTGGTGGAACTTTGCCAAGTTTTAACAAACTATTTGTGCCAATATTCTTCCTTTGTGAATATAATTTGTTGAGGATGATGATGAGGACTCATGGCCACCAAAACTACTTCCATACCAACTTCAAAATAACTTCAATGGTAAGGTTTGGATCTCTGAAGCTTTTGACTAGGGCATGGAAATAAACTCATGAACCCATGATGCAACTTGCTAAACCTCATTGCCTTTACATATGTTATTAACAAGTAAGACAAACCAATATTGTATATGTTAATTTAGAAAGAGAATAAAAGCAAAATATCCATGATCACCAAAGAAAACAAGTCAAGGTGCTTGGTAACCCCTCAAAGAGCAAAGCTAAAGATAGGGAGAAGAACCAAAAGCCCTAATGTGATTTTGTGGTGATTGAAACAATATGGTATGATGAAGGGATCTTAGGGGGGAAAATTGGGGTACAACAAAAAAGACCTGAATCAGAGAGGATGGTAAAATGGTCAAAGGATACACCAACTTCTACCGAAGGCAAAACTACCAACGTTCACTGAAGGTAGAAAGAAGAAAGAAATGACAACACCAACGTTCACTGAAGGTGAGCTACCAACTCTCACTGAAGGTAGAAGGAAGAGAAATATCATAGCATCACCATTCACTGACGATGAACTACCAACGTCCACTGAGGGTAGCAAAAAGATAACAATCGCCAACTCTCACTGAAGGCGATCTGCCAACTTTCACTGAAGGTAGAAAGAGAATATATCATAGCATCACCGTTCACTGACAGTGAACTACCAATGTTCACTAAAGGTAGAAAAAAGATAACAATCATCGATGTTCACTGCCGATGACCTACCAGCTTTCACTGAAGGTAGAGAGAAAATATATCATAGCACCTTCGTTCACTGACGATGAACTACCAACGTTCACTAAAGGTAGCAAAAGATAACAATCATCAACGTTCACTGCTGATCACCTACTAACTTTCACTGAAGGTAGAGAGAAACTATATCATAGCACCGCTGTTCACTTACAATGAACTACCATTTGCCTCGTCGTCAAATCCTGGTAAGCGATATATCATCAGCTTGGCTTATTTTCTCAAGATTCTTAAGGGTATGCTATATCAGTGTAACCTTCGGTTTGTCGGACAAATTTTGGGGTATTCCAAGTATTCAATAAACTTCTAATCAGAATGCACAAAACTTGTGTATTCTCACGCTATTCGATTGGAAGATGATTGAATAAGGGCAGCTGTCGTACTCCAAATTTTCCCTACCTCTATGATCGTATTTTCAAGATTAAAAATACAAGAGAAATGTTTTAATTAAGGATGGTCCAGCAATATCTGATGGCTCATTCTTAAATCCAAGTCAACCAGAGGGTGTATTATAAGTCAGGAGAGTGGGGCTTTCTAAATCAAAAAGACTCATGTATCCTTAGGCCCAATTATGAAGCATGTCGGCCAATGCCCCATGAGATTCGAATATGGAAAATTATTTTAGAAAAAATATTAAGTTCTTAATTGTAATAAATCCCATTTAAGTTTGTAATTGCTAGTAAAGGGGAGGTGAGATTACAATTCAAAACCCATTTCATCAGACCCATTTTTGTTGGGAATTAAACAACAAAAGAGGGGTATAGTTACAAACTACAAGCCCATTGAGTCTTAGCAGCCCATTTGTTGTTTTGTTGTTGTTTTGTTTTAGAAAAGAGTATTATTATTAAAACTCGTTGTTGCTATTATTTTACTAAGAAAATATTATTTATTAAGAGTATGTTCTATTGTTACTGTTAAAAGAGGTGTATTATAATAATGTTTTATTTTATTATTAGAAGATATTATATTAAATGTTATCCATACAATTTATTTATTAAAGGATTTTTTTTTCTTGAAAAAAAGGATGTATTGGATCAAAATGTCTTGAGGAAGCCTAGGCCCAATTCGCGGCAAAAAATAGTGTTGTAGTCCATAGAAAAATACGCTGGGCTGGGTAGTAAGAAAACAGTAATGTAAGGCCCACAGAAGAAATTGGCAATGTGTTGGACTGAAAGTTAAAACACAGAGCCCAGTTGCACTAATAGTCACTGTAGCGATTATGCGGAAAAGGTGCAAAATTAAGTCAACCAACGTTTACTGTACAAATCAAATATTTTTCTTCATTAAATCAAATCTCAGATTTTACAGTTCAAAACCTAAAACGAATTAGATCTCCAGCAAATATAAATAAAAATCAAATCTTTTACAGTTTAAAAAACTAAAATATATTAAATCAAATCTTCAATACATATTACAAACCAAATCCAGATATATTACAGAAACTAAAGCAATTGTACAAGATCCAAATCCCTAATCTACGCTAACTAAGTTTGTAACAATAATTCTAAGCGAGCCCTAAATTAACCCTATAAATATAAAACTACAGAATACGGATAATGGGGATTTTGACAAAGAAGAAATTCAGGGGAGAAGACGAAGAACCGATACCAATTGTTGAAAGAAAGGAGAAGACAGTTAAGGTTTCAACATCTGAAACGCTAACTGTTGCGGACCATCTCCAAGCTCCGCCGCCGTTCTAGTCTTTTGTCCTCACCTTCCAAGACCACCATTACCTGTGGACAAGAAGAAATAGGGGAGATTAGCACTGAATCGAACAAACGCTCAACAATTGGAATACAGAAATGTAAAGGGGTAAACTTAGCTTGCTTTTGTTCTAATTGTTGATTTGGGGTTTTTGTTGGTTGTATTTGTGTTGGGGATTTGGTTGAGGGTATTGCACTTCCGCGGATGGAAGGGGTGTTAGGGTTAGGAAGGAAGAAGGAAATGGTTATGTGAAAGAGATAGGAAAACGATACTGTGAACAAAGACAAAATAAAATGAATAAAAACAATGATATGTTCTATATGATTCTGTGCGCGCGTGCATATATTAACTAAAAATGTTCTCTCAATCGCATCCCTTAGATCGTCAGTGGACGGCCGTGAGGCCAAGTCCACCGTAAGCCCCAGAGTCCCTCGCGTAGGCAAATCACCCACGCTACTCAAAATTTGTGTTTGGGCCAAGCCTGTTTGGTTTTACACACCCTTCTTCTCATTTTACTAAACTACAACCAACAACATACCCCTCACCTCTGGGCCCAGTTCAATATCTGAACTTGGGCCCAGCCTTCTCAATACACCCTGCGTAGTCTAAGAGTGTGAATAACGGTATTAGACTGAGTACACAAATGATTTAAATATATTCGTATTCCTTTTTTGAAAAGTAATGTTGAATTAATTTATTACGAAAAATAATTTGGTGATCGTTTGAATATTTTTTATACGTAGAGCTAGGGAGTCTGATATAGTCTCCTCGTCACGTGGCCAGATATTGGCCACGTGTCGCTGGCGGATGTAGTACTTTGGTGAATCGCACGGGTTTAAATATTTTTTGTAATATACTAATTTAATTTAGTTTAGAAAAGTTATGATTTACCTATGAGTATTGAATTGTTTGATTTAACCTACCTATGAGTATTGAATTGTTTGATTTAACCTAATAAAAAAAACCTAATTAACAGAATTAATTTAAATTATATTACTATATTAATTATTTCCAGAAAAACAAATAATACTAAGAAAAATATTTAACCTAATTAAAAAATTAACTAACTTAAATAGTTAAAATAAAAACTAACTTAAATTATTAAATGGATAAAATAGATGGGCTTAGGGGGGTGCCTTAATGTAAAGGATTGGTGAATTACTTAATTAAGAGTAAATAAGGCCCAAGCCCAAACAAGATCATGAACTAACCCTAGTTTCTAAACAATTTAAAAAAACTTAAAAAAACTAGTACACGCATGGCGCTTCTTTGTTGGTATCAGGAATGTCAAGGGAATTTAAAGTGGACTATAAAAACGAACCCAATGATACATTGACAAGTGTCAAGGATTAAAATAAATAAAAAAACAAATAATGATACCCCACAGAAAACAAATAAACAAACACTAAAAATTAGTTTCCCCTCCTCTGTACTGTAACTTTTTTCCTTTTGCTGTAATGTTGTTTCTGATTTTTCCCCCTCGTTCTGTAATATTAGTTTTTGTTTTATACTGTTTCTTAGGATCGGTATATTTGATAATTGATTTAAGTTGGTTTATTGTTTAGCAAATTAGAGAAGAAGTTCTTTTAGTAACAAATTCAATCAGTTTTGATTATGTCCGTAATGGTATTGATTTTGTTTGATTCTATTTTGAATATAATATTATTTCTATTTTAGTTATGACATGTTTATGCAATAAGCTTTGATGTTGTTCTTGTACTGTAAAAAGAATAAAAATATTTAATTCACACGGTAACTGCTAGTGCATTTTTCCTATATGATCTATACAATGTCAGTTCTTAATTATTGGGCTATGCGTTTTGCCCTTCTTTTTATTAATGAGCCAAACTTTTTTTTTGTTGAAATGGCATCATGTCAATAAAAACATGGGCCTGTTGTTTTTTATTTTTTTTTGTTCTTGGCCTTTATGTTAGTTAATGATAAAAACAAATAAATAAATAAAAAGTTTTAATAATTAATCAGTAATAATTGTTAGTTAAAACAACATAATAGTACTGTTATTAATAATATAAAAAAATCAATTCCCAAAACAAACAAAAAAGCTGAAAGGGGTATGTATTTTTCAAATTGGGTTTATTTAATTTTAAACAAAAAAATCAACCCGAATTTTAACAAAAAAATCTTTAGTGGACCACACTGTTTTAATTCATTGAGCCTTTAAACAAAAACAAAATTGTTCACACCTCTTTTGATTAAAACAATGCACCTCCCTTTTTTAAACTTGAAATGGACCTCCCTTTTTTAAAACCTAATGGGCCATCAGATATTGATGGTCCATTTTAAATCAATACACCCCTCTTTAATGTTTTGCACCCCCCGTAAAAATAAAAAACTGAATAATGCGATTTATTGAATATAAACCTAAATATAATTAAGAGTAGGGAAAATTTGCGGTATGACAATATGCAGACGTGTTTGCTTGGTCGTATCTAGATATGTTAGGCATTGACACAAATATTGTGGTATATAAGTTGTCACTCAGGGAAGGTTGGCCGCTGATTAAACAAAGCTCATAACAACAAGACATTTCTCTCAAGATCCAAAAAAAATAGTCTATAAATAACTCAATAATAGGTTTTCTAGCTTTCGCGAAATATCTACAACGGATCGCAAATATCATGTTGGTATCGAAGAAAGACGGAAAAGTCTGTATGCATGGAGAATATCAGGATTTAAACAAAACGAGCCTAAAAAGTGACTTTCCATTACCTCACATCGAGGTATTGGTAAACAACACGGCTCAATACCTGGGGTCCTCACTCATATATGGGTTGTCCAAATACAACCAAAATCAAGATGGATCTCGAATACACGGAGATGACTACCTCTACAATTCCTTGGGGGCATATGTGGTTATAATTTAATACCTTTTTGCATTTAGAACATAGGGGAAACCTTTGTTTTCCATATTGGCATGAAATCAATACTCCAATTAGAAATGGGAATACCATCACTGTGAGTACTCATGAAAACTGAGCTTGAAAAATTCGAATGGGCGCAGGCACGACTCGATCAATGCAAAACTCATCAAAGAAAAGCAATTAATTTCCTTATGTCATAGGAAATCATATCAAGAGCGGATAAAGAAAACCTTTAACAAAGAAGTCCCCGAGTACGCCACAAAGACAATTTGATGTTAAATAAGACCTTACTATCTTTATTCAATGCACTTGGAGAATGGAAACCCAATTACGAAGGCCTTATATTGTCAAGAAAGTCTTCCTCTAGGGTGCTTCTACGCTTACAATAATGAACGGTGAAGATTTGCCACATCAACTAAACTCGGATGCAGTAAAAAAATTATGCATAAAATATATAATTCCACTAGGTTGAAACCCTGAAAGGGAAAACTAGGCAAAAATGGGTGTCCAGGTGGATCAAAAACCCTCAAAGGGCGATCCAGGAAAAACTAAGGACATATAAAAAGAATGTATATAACTATCTCGGTGGATTGAAAACCCGCAAAGGGCGATCCAGGAAGAAATTATGGATTCTCTCAACAAAAACAACAAAGCAAATAACTACGACCCGAGGACTCATTCCCCATCAGCAACGAAGGAAGGGAGGAATCAAAACAATTATTGTCCTTCAAAGGCAGCGTATCAGAATTATCATGGGCATAAGGAATATAGAAATATCGAAACCCAATTGCATTGCCATTCTTATTTATTGTCTTTTTTGTAATTACCTCTTTTAAGGAATTACATCTTATATTATTGCCTATTTACAGACCCCGCTATTAATAAAATATCATTTTTTTTCATAATTTCTTACTTTTGCATTTCTAATTTTTCTCAATCTTTTATCATTTCTGCTTGTTTGTAAACATGACAATTATTTTTTATAAATGATGCATTAAAACTATATGGGCATAAATAATCAAAAGAGTCAAAAACGATAAAGGTGTTTTAAGTCGAAAAAATTGAAGGGAACCCCATGGTTCACCATACACACTCAACACTTCAATAGGGTGCACAGGAATTCAAATATGGCCCAAGTCTCATAAAGGAAGTCAACACACAAAATTTCAAAATCAATCTCAAGACGACAAAGAGCAAAATTTCAAGTCAACATCAAAAGCAAAATTACAAAAGAATAACTTCAAGACGGTCGACTTTGAAGCAAGCAAAAGCACGTACTCAAAATCAAGAAAGAACATTTCCTCCAAGATCAATCAAAATAAATATCCAATGATCCAACAAGAAAATTTTGCATGTTATCAGAAAGACATGTTCTTACCAAGCATTATAAAAAACAAATATTCATAACACTTGGTGCATTTACATGTGAAATACATATTCATAACATTATCATTAAGCATTGTGCATAAACATTTCAATCATGACATAGGCACAGGAGTACTGCGAGAAATCTTAAGGCCTATTTGCTAAGCTAAGCTAAGTCACCTGCGTGAATTACAATTCAAATCTTAGCTTTTACACTATATCAAATAGAAACCTCATTTAAGAACCAACATAACAATTATAGGTACTAAAAGCAAGATTACGCTAGGAAGTATACCTATAGTTCATATTTATAGCCTAGTCATCATCAGCCTACGGGTGTATTATTTAAGCTTTCAACTGTTAAACTTTTCAATGGTCAAATTCAATTTTTCAGACTCAAACTTTTCAAATCTTTCAAATTCAAAATTTTTTTTCCAGATTCAAACAATTCAAATTCAAATTTCAACTTTGCATTATGTATCCCCTAGGTTGTTGTAATATGCAAAATTTGCGATATGACTTACTATGTTATACTCAAAGCATTAGTAAGTTATTTTTCAAAACACGCATCATTTATTCTCTAGGTTATGGTAGATATGCAAAATCTGCGATATAATTTATTGTGTTAGTCTCGAAGCGACAATGAGTTATCAAACTTCTATTATTTACCCCCTAGGTTGTGGTGAATATGCAATAATTATGATATAACTTGTTGCATCAGTCTCGAAGCAGCAATAAGTTATTTATTTCAGAAACTCGCATCATTTATCCCCTAGGTTGTGATGAATATGCAAAATATGCGATATAGCTTACTATGTCAGTCTCGAAGCTTTAGTAAGTTATTTTTCAAAACTCATATTATCTATCCCCTAGGTTATGGTAGACATGTGAAAATCTGTGATATAATTCATTGTGTTAGTCTCGAAGCGACAATGAATTATCAAGCATGTGTTATTTACCCCCTAGATTGTGGTAAATAAAAAATTTGTGGTATATCTTACTATGTTAGTCTCAAAGCTTTAGT